TGCCATAAACAGTTCAAAACAAGTCAAAATATTTTAAAAATGTTTTGGTGTTTAAAAAATGCTAATATAAACATTCAGTAAAAATTGCATGTATGGTCATTTGTTTTAGAGTTACATTAAAAAATAAAAATAATTTTTCTTTTGTTTTTCACGGCACTTTTGAAAACTACTGGGAAAACTACCAACTAGATTCACTACTTTCCTATTAGAAAAGATAATTTTGAAAAAATCTAACCATTTTTACTGTCCTAAAAGGTGATGACACAAAAAAAATTAAAAAAACACACATCATTGTAAAAACAATACATTCATCGCTCCGCTCAGAATCTAAAATAGTTATTAGGTATTGTATAGACCGTTATAGCATCCACATGACGTATAAAAATATATATTATATATTTAAAAGGCCGTTAGTATATTGAGGGCCTCTACAATTATTATGATTTTCCCGGGCTGTGTTTTTCTCCCAGTCCGCCACTGCTTAGTTGGTGTTTTAAAGTTTTAACCGRAAAAACTTATAATCTAACAAGGTTACTATATTTTTAAGAGGATATAGGCATATAGCCATATAGCTCAATATTTGTTTTCTATCTCAGGCCATCGTGTAAGATAGATCGTAAACATAAATTTAAGCTAACAACACAAAAAAGGAATTTCTAGACGTACATTTTGTTATATTATGCGTTATGTCGATACAACACTTGTGGGTACGACCGCTATGCCCTGTTTGTATGGCATCTAACTTAATTCATTACCTACTATTTACTATACTCTGTCTAATGTTCAGCGAGAGAACGCACTTTAGGCCGATCAAAATCCGAACTTCTGCTCATCCTCGCACGATACTATAGAACGTAGTTAATTTTTTTTTAATATTCTAACATCCACTAGTTATTTTTATGTTTACTTACTCTATGTCACTATTAAATATTAATTTTGATACTATATTACATATGTATATACTATCGCAACTTCTTGTGACTACATTTACATAAATGAGATTGAAATAATGTTTTTATTTTCCAATTATTGTTACACTTACGWATATAATATTTATGAATTTACGGTTTACGGTTTGAACAGGTATTACTACAATGGATCATTGACGTTCAATTAAATTAAGTAATTAAAAAGATAATTATATTGTTTTTAAGTTGATTTAAATTGAATGATGAATATTCTCGAATACCCACTATGGTACTATACTGTATTACTGTCTATACTCTATACCATAGTATTATAGAGGTACTATAATATTATAGTGTACAGTATACACTATATAATGCAGTAATGCCAGTAATATATTATATTACCTACCTTAATTCAGTAAATTTCATATCACGCTGATTGACAATGTGTTTGCAATCAATAATACTAWCAATTTTTCTATTTTACATTTTATAATTTACTATTCGTMWWKATCTGTCTTTGCCAAAAAATTTGCAAATATAAAATTCGATGCTATATCAATTACCTATCAGWTTATCTCGGTTTTAGCGTATAGATACCTACATCAGCTTATGTAAAAATCAGCATCGGTGTACGGGTGTACTTTACAATACCCTTGCTTGGTTAACTCATTCGGCCGAGATCGACAATCCAGTATTCACCTGTAGTGGATTGGATGTAATAGTTGGTATATTTTCTTTTAGATAGTTCAAACTATTACACTTTAAATTTTCCTAATATACCTAAGAACTATCTCTGAACTTTTAGAAAAAGTTTTAGAGATATTTTTTTGAGTCAATAACCTTATTCAAACATACAGAAATTGACTTTTCTAGAGATCTGTTTTTTTTTTGTCATTGTCTCAGACTCTCGGGGTAACTCTGACGTAGGTATCGATCTGCAGTTATAATAGGTATTA